TTATGATTTAGCCTCGCCTCGAATACGATAGAATATTCAGTCCGCCAAGAGCGGAATCATTCAACTGGAAAGATTACTTTGCTGTAAGTTCTTTACTTTTTTCAACATTTGGTGCTGGTGTGGACGTGTCTTACTTCAGGCTACGGGAACAAATCCATGCACTGATGAAGTCTTGTTCGGTCATGTTAGATATCTAGAACAAAGTGTTTGCGAGAGACTCTTTGAACATGGAAAGCATATTTTCGTAAAAACAGAGAATGACAATGAACGAGTGGCAAGAATAGAGGTGAAAAGGACATCGTCTGGAATTCATTGTTAATGATTATGCACTACCTCTAGGTTTGCTGTAAAGGCAAACTTTTCGTTAGTTATCTGAACATCGACGATAAGGAAAGGAAGGAAGATGTTGACGGTGAAATCACTATCGATGATGTTGTTACAGATGCATTCGAAGTTGATCACTCCATGAAGAGGTGGCTTCTTTGCCTTAGCTTCAATTTTAGTTTAAGTAGTGGTTTGTAGGGTACTTGCTGAGGAGAAAGACAAACGCCGTAAATGGGATTTCTTGGATGTTGAAGAAGTTACGAAGTACAAAGATTTGATGGATCATAGTCTTAACGATTTGATTGAGGTGAAGTGTCTTTTTAGCACGTTACGTATCCTAATGTTTGTTTATTCTGTCTTTTTGCTTTTTTCTATTGATTTTTTCTGACAGACACTTCATTTCTGGACCATACCTAATTTACTTAATTTGGCGTGGGACTGCTGCCCAAGTCGACCTTTTTTAACGATCGAATTAGGTTTTGTTACTTTTGCGAGCTTTGGCTGAAAGCGTTCGGTGTGGTGGTACAAGTGAAGATAATAGTACTGTATTTTATCGATTTCGGTGTTTTTCGCAAACAGCAGGTCGTTTTCTCCACTTTATTTTGTGGGGATTTGGAAAACAGCACTTGTGCCAAGTCAGCCGTGGGCTTGTAAGTATGTTGACTTTTGAGTAAATCATCGAGAGAATATCGTCTTGCCACTCTTTGAATAGTGAGGGCGCGGAATTGATATTTAAGAGCAAAAAGATTATATCACTATACCAAGTCCGCGCAAAGTCGTCTAGGCATGTTTTTATTCTCCGGCTTTGAGACCGCTCGACTATTTGACATACTTACTGAAATAGCAAAGACAGCTGTTGTAAGTAAGTACTCATCTTAATCTCGCAATTTCAGGAAGGGCAGTATTT